GATTTTAAGTAGTTTAGAATATTTAGTCTCTTAGGTTTCCTAGTTCTCTTAGGTTTCTTAATTTGTGTCGATTTAAGTTTCCTAATTTATTTTGAAATCACTTTTCCTACAAGTATTAGGTAGTCTATTATAAATAAGCCTACAAGCATATGTAATTTTTATTCATTTAATAATATTTTAAAGAACTTTTCTTCTATCTTCCTTGTGGATTTAAGGGTGTTCTTGTGAATTTAAGAATTCTCGTCTATTAGAACGATATCTAGTCTCGTGTGATTTATTCCGCTGCACCACAATCAATAATAAACCCATTCAATGTAAGGAGAGATCTACACCATAGAAGATTGATCCAACTGTCAAATATAATTCTCAAGTGATCAGATGCAATCAAAAGATATAATCGATTTGATCTGGTAAATGAAAAAGCGTGCGGTCCAGCCATTCATTCCAACCCAGAATTCAAAAATACTCTGTAATTCTATCTTTTTCTTGATCTGATTTTTCCCTAGTTCTACTTGGTCATATAGTTTCTGTCAATATTCTACTCTATAAATAGATTATCAAGCCCCTAATACTACTTAGTCATATAATTTTTTGTTGGTATTTCGGTTTCTACTCGTCAGTGTAACTATAGTCTAAAACAGAATATATAACCCTTGGTTCTACCTGGTTATATAATTTTTTTGTAGGTAGGTAGTCTAGTCCGTACTCACCAATGTAGAAGCAAATAGATCAAGATTCGATGTATCCTAAAGGTAAGTTTGTTATAACTCTGTACACACTATTGAATATGAACAAATACTGTTTTATAAAGGCCTAACACATCTCAAAGGATTTTTCTTAAGCTAATTTCACCAGAAGCTCATCCCTTACATCAGGCGGCGAGAGAAACTTTAAAGATAAAGAATTTCACAACTGTAACAATTAACTAGGTCAAGGCATAAAAAGACAAACAAATTTGCAATCTAAAATCTGAAATATTCACCTTCCTCAGTGCCAACCATCGCGAAAACCATGCATTGCTTAAAAGAATTTTTTGTGAAACAAACTTTGTTGAGCATGTGGGCATGGGTGTTCAGAAGGGACATACCTCTCCCATTCCCAAAAAAAAAAAAAAAAAAAAAAAAAAAAAAAAATTGAAAAATGAAAAATAGAAAAAAGCCATATCTCCTTTCCTAGGGTGGATGGAATGGACAGTTATGATAAGTTTCATGTGCTTATCTTGTTATTTAATTGTCACTGTTAAGATCAAAACTTGAAAAAGAACTAGTTTCCAATGCTGCGATGACTCAGAAAAGAGACATTTCCATTGTTAGGATTAATGTGTATCTTAGACCATCTTTTTTCTTGGTCTTTGTAAATGTATGATTTGTTGATGATTGACACCTGTCTAAGCTCGTAGTTGGAGGAATAAAAAAACTACACTACTTTAGTACAAGCCTCCTTGATTTTAGGGTCTTCTTATTCCCAATTTAAAGGATTCTTAAATAGAATTAGTAGATTACTTCTATACATTTTTATCTAAGAAATTAGGAGATTATCAATTTTTATCAAATACAAAGATTAATAATTCTGAAACTCATTATGGGAACTCTTTGTTATATTGAGTTCATTTTTTTCTTACTGGGGACTATTTTTTTGAGTTTTCATTGTTAGGGTTAGATTGTTGAACTTATAGATATGGGTTGTTAGAATATGATTGTCTAATTTGATATCATCTAATTATTCTCATATTTATAAATAATATTTTACCGATTAAAAAAAAAATTAGTATTGAGTTTAGCTAACAAGCAACTTGGACATAAGAAAATGAAAAATAAACAAAGAACATGAGAGATTTTTCACAAAATTAAAAATATTTTTAATTGATTTCAAAATACTTTTAACATTTTCACTTATTTTTAAAATATTTTTCAATTGAATATGGATACAAATTAATGCTCCATATAGCACTAGCTAGCACTTTTGTATTGAAAAATGTTATATAAGTAGTAAATTTTATAAACTCATTTTATGAATAAATGAAGCACACAACAAAAATTTATATATATAAAACTTGTACATAGAAAAATACTCAAAATTTTATTATGTTTCAGAATTAATTCAAGTATTGTAAAATTTACTAATAAAATTACTTTATTGATTTTTTTAGTATAATTTTGCAAATTAGTTTTGTATACCCAACATGATGAAACTTTACAATTTAACTGTTTACAAGTGAGACGGATTCTCATTGGTTTAGGAAACTGGGATCACGTGGGCTTTAGCCAATCCAAGGCCACTTCTAAAGACAAATCACCAAAATATATCATGATTGTCTGTGGATGGACCAGCCTTCAACCACCAAATACATGTCTTGAATATTAATTTAATGAAGTAAGGCCTTCTAAAGTTGTGCCAAAACTCATACTAATGCTTACTTCTATGGGAGTTTGTTTTTCACTTTAGGCTAATGTAATTGAAAGAACGAGCCCTGAGGGTAATTGTAGGCGTGCCAAGACCTCCCTCGATTGGCGGATGGGTGACTTTGAGTTTCTTCACATGCGTGTCTGCATATTGGATCTTAACATTTTTACTTCAATACTATATTTGAGTGATAATAATGTTGAAAGAAAATAAGAATATAATTTTTATTTTCATGATTTTACTGTTTGGATGCAGTTTGAATAGGAATGTCATTCCTGATTTACTAATCTATGTGGAATTAGTTTCCTAATTATATTCGCAATTTATCCCCACTTAAATGGGATAATTTTTTTCCCCCTAAATAGGATTTGATTTCTGAATTCTTCAAACACACCAATCAAATTATCTAGCTATCAAATTGATGGGAGAGATTCATACCCATTCGTAGTCTTTGATAAATGTACATTGTTAGCATTTTGATGGCGTGAGTTCTAATTATGAAAATAATCTCTCTAAAAATTGGGATAAGATGTCTCCTTAGTCATTGTTTTGTCCAAGTCTTGTGCGCAATTTCTTTATTTTTTCAAATGGGGTTCATAATTAGTTAAATTTGAACTTTTTTTTAGGGACAATTTTTTTCTTTTTTAAATTGAGTTATAATTTTAAAAAAATATATTATAATCAAATTGAGCTAAATTAGTGATTTTTTTCCTTTAAAAAATGATTAGAAATTGTTGTTGTAATTTATTTTATGATGAAATAGAGAACATGATCCATGTCCAATCCATTGATACAATGAAGTAAAAGAAACGCAGGAGGGACATCAACGTAGCACTCTCTCAAATGAAATCCTAATTCCCTCTCCGACTATGCTAGCTCTAATTGGTTACTGGTCATTTATTAGTGATATGTACCTGATGTGGTGTTTCTCAAGATGAAGACGAGATTTTATTTTATTTTTTTTATTTATTTTCCCCCCGGGGGGGGCGGGGGGGTGTGGTTGCAAGATCATTCTATATTTTGATCATTTAGATAGGATTAGTAATTGGTTTGGCAGGTTTAACTATTAAGTGGCTATTTGTAAAGAGCAAAGTAGCAGGAGAGAAAGATCTGAATGGCCACTAGATTTTTGTATCCACCAGCTCACTTTTTATCTACTTGATTTGGAAACTTTGGAACAAAAAACACTACCCCCTCTCTTCTAAATATGATTTTTCTTTTACTTTATGGCAGGTCTAACTACAAATCATCTATTGTTAAGAAGCAAAATAGAAAGTGAAAAAAAAAATTTAAAATCGTGATAGGTTTGAATTTGTATGCATCCCATCCCATTAATTTTTTTACCTGGTGGGAAGCTTTTAAGCATGTTTGAATGGAAAACAAATAATTATGTGGAATCCTTGCTAAACGCCAAAAATAATTATGTATGACAAAAAATGATCAAAAATAAAATAATTGAGTTTTTTTTAAATGTCAAAACTAGTTACACTAAAAATGGATAGTTTATCTCTTACATTAATTAAGTCATTGTAGCTCTAATTGCATTAACTTTAACTTTAAACTTTCAATATTATGTAAATTTAGTCTAATGGATAATGTCTTTTTAAAAATTAGACTAAAATCAAGTGACAAAGTGAGTGTTTGGAAAATGTGTTTTTTTGTAGGTTTTTTTAGTTGTAGGGTATTATTAGAGAAATTTTTTTTTGTGTTTGGGAAGATAGTTGGATTTTTTTATGGTTGAATGTGATATTTGTGAAAGAAAAAATGAAATGATTATAGGGTTTGATGTGATATTTTGTTTGAATTTTTTTTTTTTTATTTATTTTGTAACCAATTTATCTTTTAATAAAAAAAACCAAAAACAAACAAAAAACAAACTTTCCAAACAGTGCCAAAATAGTCTTCCTTTTTTTTTTTTCTCAGAGTGATTGTAGAGTTGACATTTAAGTTGAAATTATCAACTCCCTTTTAAAACAACTTTTGTGTTCTTGATTTCTATTTAATTTCATAACAAATATTATCAATGAATCTAAATTAACACAATATAAACTAAAATAAATGGTAAAATTATCAATTGATATACATTTATGACATTATTAAAAAAATATTAATTGATTTAATGATTTATTAATAAAAATAAGCTATTATTATGAAATTAGAAATTTTAATGGTCGAAATGAAATTTTCAGAATTATACTGAGCAAATCTTATTTTAAGTAAAGGTGTATTTGTAATTTAAAAAATTAAAAATAAATATTTAAAAATAAAAAAAAATAAAGAAAGAAAGAGTATACTGTCTTGGAGTTGCAAAACAGTGGATGCTCATCACTTTTAAGCTACTTAACCAGGAATCCATCTTCCCTTTTTAGAAGTATTTAAGGTAAACTCGTAACCCCACGTGTCAGTGTCAGATACGGTGACGGCGCCATCAAAAATATTACTACTCTCCTAAAAAAAACACACATTTGTAAAAAAATATATATTATATATATACATATGAAAATATATGAAAGTTCTGATTCGCCCCTCCCCTCGAGCTCACCACTGTTGTTATTAAAAGTCCAATCTTTAAACTTTAAAACCACTCTTTTTTCTTATTCTTTAGCTGCTTTCCATGTTTAAAACAGCTCATCTTGGTGGTTTCTTGTTTCCCTCAAAACCACTTTGTTTGCTTATAAAAAGCTCTCCTGACTTTGATATGAAATTATAAAACCCTTCACACACAAAAAAAGACCCAATTTCAGAGCTCAACTGCGTAAGCTTTCTGCTAACCTTTTCTTTTTTTCACTTTTATTCATAATAATAAAGATCCAATTAATGCTCTTTTTCTCTCTTTCTATATATATGTTATTATTGCAGAAACCCTAATCTAGGTTCTAGACCACGGTGGTGACGATGGGAAGAGGGAAGATTGTAATAAGGAGGATCGACAACACGACAAGCAGGCAAGTTACTTTTTCGAAGCGAAGGAGTGGGTTGTTGAAGAAGGCGAAGGAGTTAGCGATTCTATGTGATGCAGAAGTAGGATTGATCATCTTCTCCAGCACTGGCAAGCTATACGAATTCACGAGCACCAGGTTTGTTGTTTGACAAAGTTTTTCACTTTGTCTTTAATGTCATTAATTACCTTGTTTTAATTTTGTTCTTTGTTTTGTTTTGTTCATCACAAACATCGTGTAGGTAGTAGCCCTAGCCCTCTCCCATATAGTTTTTTTTTTTAATCTTGAAGGTAGTTCATGTCTTTTCCTAGATGGTTGCATATAATATCTTATAAAATTTCCATATTCATTTAAATTTGAAAATGGCTTAAATACTTGATAATGTAATATATTGGTTTCTTAGCAATACGGATTGAAAATTTCTAAATGGTTATTAAAAATCAGATCTTTAGATACCATGTCTACTTGGGGGGTGTAAAAATTGAATTCCGAACATGAAGAAAAATTTGTTAGGTTTTTAACACTCATTATTTTAGATTTGTGATTGCACATGATTTCACTTTCTTTTCTTGTGCTAATCTAGTTGAGAGATTGGCACATGATGGTATGCTACAATATAATGTTCGCTTTTCCCCTCTTTATTAATATATATACATATATATATTTTAGTGACTTCTAAGGCACTTTTAAATTTCAACAATAACATCTTTGTTTTGCAGAGATATATAGATATATGTGACTTGTAAGGCACTTTGAAATTTCAACAATAACATCTTTGTTTCGCAGAGATATATATATATATATATATATGTGTGACTTGTAAGGCTTTATTAGACTTCAACAATAACATCTTTATTTCGCAGATATATATATATATATATGTATATATAAATAAAAGAAGAAGAAGCAGAAAAGAAGTTGTAGCACCCATTTGGTCAGTGAAGCCCTAGTCTCAATAAAAGATTTGATGCTCTCAAATCATGAGCTGACATCACACTATTGTGGCACGAAAAGAAAAATAATTCTAAGGTAATAAATATACAAGAAAATCACATGAAGGCTTATATCTTTTGTGAATCTTATTAATTAGTCTTTACACATGAAGTTTCATTTCTTCGGAGTCATCGAAGATCTAAAGGAGGAAAAATACGCATCAGGAGATTTGAAGCATCTCTTTTTCACTCTTAGCATTAGCAAGCCATGAGTGCTTAGAGAAGTGCTATGAGCTTGACTTAAGGCTTGACAAATATGCTTTTGTCAAGGGGATAAGACGTGTTTTTTTTTTTTTTTTTTGAACAGCAAACAAAGAAATTTTATCAAAAGTTAAGCATAGAGAATATTTGCATCATTGTCAAAGTTAAGCATACAAACTAAGTTGACACTCAAAGTAAGACTATTATGTGCGTCCCCAATGCCACCACTAAGAGTTAGAGAGGTTCCAAAACAAAGATTACACCTTTCCACCTAAACAATATCTAATCTACAAAATATTGAACAAAAAATCATCTATAGTAAACTAGTAATCCTTTGATGCAGCTTTCAGCCAAATGGCTAATCTGATTATGATTACCTCTTGAAGCTTCCCCATATCTGGATGAATACCAGTAAACACACAATCATTCTTATGCTTCCAAATGGACCAAAGAGGAACCAGAGGAATTGCATCCCAAATCCATTTTTTAGCTTTCTTGAAGCAATTTCTATCCACCACTGCAGCAAAGACTCAACTGACCTCGGCACACCCATATCACTCCCCACCACTGCAATAAACCAGACCAAACCTTTCAAACCAGAGGGCAAAAAATAAGCACATGTTCAACAGTGTGCCTGTTTGGCAGAGCTTAATTACAGCTTATTTCAACTTTCAGCTTAATTTAAGCTGTTTTGATGTGTTTAGTTTAGCTTATAGCTTATAGCTTTTTGGAAGTCAGAAATCAGCTTATTCTTTGAGTGGGGCAGGAGATGCTTTAAGAATAAGCTGGAAATCAGCTTAAACTGAAAGTTATAAGCTATAAGCTGTTGAGGCATTAGCTATAAGCACTTTCCCACAGCTCTACCAAACAGGGCCAGTCTCTTCCTCTAATCTACAGAAAACACACAAAGTAGAGGCATTCACATCAAGACATTTAACAACCTTTAAGACATCTTGTAGGTATATTGACTAATTAGCCATGGATTCTCTAGAGCTTTTAACCGCTTTTTTCGTTTTTTTTTTTTTTTATCAGCTAGGGCCAATTGTTTGTCATTAGATTTAATTAGCTCCATTTGAAAGCCAGTTTTAGCTTGTATTGTATGTTCTTTAACTCCTAATTGATCTCAAGTTCTTTGGTTTCTCACATATGTGTCTTTCATTGGTGTAAGACCTCGACGCTTACCATATCACCAAAACTCATAGATAATGATAAAGGCATAACTTTATTTCCTTAAAAGGTACAGCACCAAGCGCCACAAGTTGATTGTGATTCGACCTTATCCCAGGTCTCCGCCACGGTGATGCTGGTCCAAACCCAACCCAACACTCCCCCTTCCCCCCCAGCACCTGCCCACAAACAGCATGCCCTCCAGGGAAATCGAACTTAAGACCTTACTCTGATACCAATTGTAGGACCTCAACTCTTACCATTTCATCAAAACCTATAAATAGTGATGAAGGCGCAACTTTATTTCCTTACAAGGTATAACACCAAGCGCCCAACTATGACTCGGCCTTATCTCGAGCCTCTGCCACAGCAAGGATGTTGGCCCAAATCCAGGCCAACAATTGGTGTGGGAATGACCCAAGAATCACCCACCCAAAGCAATGTTTAGTTATTTGTAGCTTAATAGTTGCGGTTCAAATCCTTCTATTTAAAATAAAGACTTAAATCTCTTACAGACTCTTTTTTTATTAAATTAAGATTAAAAAAACCACATTAACCTCACTAAAGTGGTTTAATGGTTAAAACTTGGCTTAATAACGTTGAGGTTATGGGTTCAAGTCTTGGGTCACCACTTTACGCTTTATGCCAAAAAGGTTAGGTGTGTACTGAATCTTTCCCCTCCCAAACACACATTAATGTGTAGTTCTTGGGCGTTGTTTTTTATTAACCTCACTAAAGTACCTATCACTTATGGTTCAATCCTAATTTCCATAGATATTATTATGACCCAAGAACTACCCAAAACTACCCAAATCAATGTTTAGTTATTTGTAGCTTGATTGGTGAGGTTCAATAAAAACATAAAAACCTCTTACATACTCTCTTTCTGTTAAATTAATACAAACCGTCTTGCACATAGACACACAATCTCTTTCATTCAGTCTCTCCACCCCTAACCATGCCAAGGTACTTATCACTTATGGTTCAATCTTGATTTCCATGGATGCTATTATGAAATGAAATAAATTTTCTACGTTGCATGACCCCATCTAGATATTTTTACTCGCATAACTCTTTCTCCTCCTCTTTTCCCGTGGGTCAAACAGCAAAAGAGTCTCTAACCCCAACCCTCACCTAATCTTTCACCCATCCTGTGATTTGGGTGGTACCAAGATGCATGTCCCTCATAACCCAAGTTTTGTAACTCTCATCTTCTAAATTTAGTTGTCACTGGACTAATTGTTAGCTTTATATACAAAAGTCCAAAAGTTTTGAAGAGTTTTTATATTTAAGTCCCTATTTGTATTCTTTTTTTCTTTTATGCTTGGATATTTGCATTCCACGTGTAGGATGAGATTGCATGTGAGAGAGAGCAGTTATTTTTTGAAAATGTATGTTTTAAGTTGATGACACTGTTGTGTTGGATTGGAACAAGGACATCTTGCTTTTGAAACAAACAAAAGAGAGTAATAATATAATTTTTATACAGAATGATATGGCTTCTTGTAATCTATCTATTTCCAATTAGAACACTTAACATTGTCCTTATAATTTTAAAACCATCATTGACACATCAATCTGACTATATTTTCTATGTAATTTTTCTATTTGTAAATTATTTTTCACAAAAATATATATATATATATTAGTTTTGCCAGTAAAATAGCTATGGCTGCATGAGTAGAACAAAGTAGTCAAGAAAGATAACCAATTTAGGCAACATACCATTATTAGACCATGCTATAAATAAAAGCTACTAAATTTTTGCATTTAGGGTCACAAGATGGGGTGCTGATCAAAAAAAAAAAAAGGGTCACAAGATGGGGTAACCTTATATTCATCCATATTTTATGCTTAAAAGGTTTTTCTCCACTTAGCCAAAGAGTCATCAAATAATAAAAATTAAATTACATTTCTCTTGTAATCTTACCTAGTATGTCGGGAAAGGCACTTTAATTTGATTCCTTTCTTTTTTTTCTTTTTCTTTTTTTTTTATTGATGAAAATTAGTTGTTAGTTGTTAAATTAACACCTATAAAAATTAACCTCTCTACCCTTGTAAAGTACCAAGTACTTACCTTCTAATTAAACTCTCCTTAGAGAGAGTTGAGCTCATGACCTCCCATTTAGAACTAAATCCTTAAGAGCATTGAAAAAATATATATGTTTATTAGCACATGTGGTTGCATTGCACCATTTACTTTTAAAAAATTAATTTCCAGACTTATAATCAAATAAATTTGTCTTACATTCTCCATGCCTTATCATGTGTTACCACGAAAAACAGTCTATATAACTTTGTTTCATCTGAAAATTTCTAGTAAGGTTAGGAGATATATCAAATAAATGAGAATCGAGTATGATCATTAAAATGAAGTGAACATTAATTTTATTTGCTTTTTTTGGCATTTGTTTTAACTTATATCTAGGGGCCTTGTGGAAGAAAGCAATCAAAGCTTTCATAACTAAATGGGATGGCTGATGAAAGCTTCTAGGAAGTATAGTAGCCTTGTAGAAAGCTTTGAACAATCGAAAGTGAAATAGGTAAGAACTTAACCGACTTTGGAGAGAGAGAGAGAGGGAGCTACAAATGATCCGAGAGCAAAAGTAATTGGACTCATATTAGTAAGTACATACAAAACATACCTTTTATCCGGTCATACCAAAACAAAACAAAAAAAAAAAATTAAGTAAAGAGTTTACTTACGTATAGCATTTTTGGAAAAATAATAAGACAAGCAAACATATTCGATTTGAGAACATTCAATATATCTGCATTAACCTAGTCAAGGACTTACTAAAGACCAAAAGATTGACTTTAATAAATGAGACTCTTTTATCAAGCATGAATTTAAGTCTTACCATTTCGCTCTGCAATTTCCTTGTTTCCCTTCTAAAAATAAAAAATTTAAATTTAACACAAAAAAAAAAAAAAAAATCCATTATTTTGGTTTAGTTTTAAGTAATTTTATTTCTTTTTCCTTTTTCCTTTTTCCTGGAGTCCAGATCCAAACAAAGCCTCATGGGTTGGTCCGCTGGGGATCTGCAATAGCCATATTCCAAACACATTCGACAGCCTGTTCGTACAAATTATTTTTTTGGACCAATCCATGTATTCATCTATATTGACATCATTTAAGCTGAAGCACCAAAAGGATCACCAAAAGGATCTGCAAATTTTAAACATCTCGAATTTTAGAAGCATCCACTGGATGTGCAAAACTATTAAGCATGCAGATTCTATTTTGAAATTCTTTTCATCTTCCTGTTTATGTGATTTAGAAATATTTTTTAAACCATGCATGATAGAACGAGGTGTGTGCATGATAGATAGTAGAAATAATAGAGAGGTGAATATGGGAAATGAGGGGATAACAAATAGTGAATGTTTTTGTCACTTAAGTACGATTACTTATAAGAATTGAGAGGTTGGATATGATGGTCTATAGAACTCAAGTGGACTTCTAGCGTATTATGTGATTCACGATTACCAACAAAATCAAAAGAAAAATTTTGTAGAACTGTTACAGGCCAGTGATAGCTATTAAAAAACAACATATTCATGAAACAAGTGTAGCTGAGAGGAAGATACTTAGATAGATGTATGGTAAGATTAGGATAAATAAGGTTAGAAGTGAATATATTCGTAAAATAATAAGAATAACACCAATTGAGAAAAATTAATTTAAGATAGTTTGGCTATATACATCAAAGACTTATAGATGTTTTTTTTTTTTTTTCAACAAAGAAAAATCTTTATTGATGAAGAAATCATACATTACATATGAGAATACATCAATAAGAATGAGAAAGAAAAAAAGGCAAAGAAAGGAAACCAAGCATAGTGTTGGTGAGAAACCAACACCACTAACACATGCCACCACCCAAAAACTAGCTAACAAAAGCTTGTAACCCACTGAATGCTCCAGCTATGCTAACTTGTTGCCGTCCACCATCCTTCTTAAACCAAACCTTCCTATTTGGATCTCTCTTTGTCCTTTAGCTCTAGCTCAATAATCTTGTTCAGCATATCATCTTCTTTCCCATTGAAATTGATGCCAAGAGATTTACCTAATTGTATAATGGCTTTAGCTTCATTGAGGAGAAGATTGTTCGGACTAGTAACACCCTTAGACAGATCTGAACCTGCTATCGCAGCTGCTGCTAGCCTGAAGATGACAGACCTAAAAGTGTGCTTGCTGACTATTGCAGCTTTCTGCCCATGAAGTCTAGCAAAGCTGGTGAACTCCTCTAGCTGAACCTTCTTCTTTCTTTTTCTCTTCTCATTCCGCAAGAGTTTGGGGACAGAAGTAGGTTGCCTAACTAAGCCTGAATGATTTAGGTTCAAAAGAACCTTCCTATTTAAATTCTTACTAAGAGCTTGTGCCAAATCCACTTCAAGATTGATACCAAACCTAATTCCATCTCGAGATCCACTGAAGCTTCTAATAAAATCAGGTATAGAGACTTGCTGAACATTAAAATTTGGGCCATGCACTGACTCTTCCAATATGTAGAAAAAGTGATACAATCACTGTAATTAGAAATGTTAGGAGGAGGCAAAAATCTAAATTGATATGAGACGTGGTAGTAAAAAAATAATGTGAATTTATTTAACTATAGTCCTTGACAAAGTGGAATGGGGAAAAAGAATTTATATAGCCGAACTCCACTTGATTAGAACACAAGACTTAGGCCCTATTTGGGAAGTGGATTTTTGGCTTTTTTTTAGGCTCAAATTCACAGAAAGACAAAATAGACTAAAATATCTAATAAGACAAAATGTCATATAAAACCCATAATCATTTTATTTTTTTTACACAAATATCACATCCAATTACAAAAAAAAAAAAAATCTATCTTTCCAAACACAAATTTTGACCTACTAAAATAATTAAACTAAAATAGTCAATTAAAATAGTCAATTTTTTAAACGAGGCTAGTTCAATTTAATTTAGATATCGGTTGTTCAGACAAGGAGGAACCTAGCAAAGAGTTTTATAGACATGAAAATGACACCGGAGAAAGGAAAGTGGACGTATCACAAAACTGAGTCATATCAACAAGCCAGAATTCATAAGCTCCGAAATTCTCTTTTAAAAATAAATTTTAAAAAAAAATTAAATATTGATTTCTACAATTTTGGCGAGAGATTTAATATTATTTTCTAAATTTAAGATAATGAAGTATGTAAAGAAACCAAAAGACGGTATAAATTCGGAAAAATTCTTCGCATGCCAAGAATAGATCACTTCATATATAATTGAATTCATCCTAAAATGCAAATATTTGCATGAAATACCAGAGAATTCAAGGTAAAAGAAATTAACATAGTTCTTGAGATGTAGTGATTACTTTGTGAACCTGTACTTTTGATAATTCTTTATGCTTCTTCAAAGCTTCTCCAACTTGCTTCCTTCTGTCTTCAAAGCAATGCAAATGCTATGACAACACTTAGCTGCCAATTTTCAGATTTAAGGATGATAAATATTACTGTACAAGAATCTGACCTCTTTTGTTTACTCTTGTCAGCATGAAATCCGTAATTGAACGATACAATAAATCTAGAGAGGAAAATCATCAACTACATAATCAAGTGTCAGACGTCAAGGTACACTTCCTTTAATCACATTTCTCCCTCTGCAATGTCTCCAAAAGAATTAATATGCTATTTTTCAGAGATTTTTATTGTATTTGGCCTTTAATGCATTATTGCTGAAATTTTATTAAACAAATGCACGTGCCTACTACTGACATATACAAGTTTGCACTACATTTATTATTCTTATTATTCAAAGGGTAAATTACACTTTGCCCTCTTTATATTTGGTCATTTTTTCACTGTTTATTTTTTTTATTTTGACTCTTCGTGTTTCAAATTTTTTTCATGTTACTCTTAAAATCAATTTCTATTCAAAATTAGACAAAAAATAATACATTGATAGTCACGTGAGATAAAAATATTTTATTATACATAACTCACACATCTGACATAAACTTAAATTTCAATATAATAATATATTTTTTGTGTAATGTAAGAGTCGTGATATTTTTTTTTTATAATTTTGAACAAAAGTTAACTTTAGGAGTAAAGTAAAAAAAATTTAAAACATCTAGAGCCAAAGTGAGAAAAAAAATAAATTTTACGGGCCATAATAGAAAATTGACCAAATATAAAGGGAGTAAAGTGTAGTTTACCATTATTCAAATGTACTTCTGCAACCAAAAAAAAAAATGAAGGTAGATCAATTTCAGATTTCAGGACATTTCAAGTTCAATAACAGAGTAACATAGACTGAACCATAATTTTTCACATCATAAAAATAATGCATAATTGAACTCACAAGCCTTCATGATATTCAGCAATGCTAGATATCATGAAAAACCTTTTATGAAAATAATCATGAAATTTTGTGACCCTTATATTACACTTAGAATAAAGCACCACACACTAAATAAGGTAATCTAAGGATCATAACTCTTTCATAATCATTTTCATAAAAAAAATTTCATGATCCCTAACTTTTTCCCATGATATTATGGGGCATTTTGGCAACAATAAAAAATCAATTTTTTGATTTTTTGACTTTTTTAGGTCATATCACCTCTCTATTTTTTTTACACAAAAAAGTCAATTATTTATCAACTTTCCAAAACACCACTATAATAACAAAATTTGTCCAGTGCAAGGGGGTCTTTCTCATAGTATTGGCATAGAACTCAGATACTAACTTAGGGCATTCACATCAACCTCAACAAATTTAGAGCAAATTATAATCCAAAATCTCTTTTTGTATTTTAGCTAGCCTCTTTTTTATGTATACACTCCATGAAACTCTCTATTCTTAAATTCTATTTCATTAAAATATTATGAACAAGCAAGTATAAACAAGGCCCAAGACAACAACAGATCAACACCAGAGCAGCAGTAGAGTAGCAACACAGGATGGCCAAACCCACTGAGGGGCGGTCAATCGACCAGACGACCGGTCAGGCCAAATTTGAGCATTTTCTTTTTTTGTTACAAGGCACTCACGGGACATCCGGGAGGACATCCGAGTGGACGATCAGTCATGGCTTTTTGGCCCAACTTTGCTCTAGAAAATATAATAAAAAATATATTACCGTATGAACAGTGCCTTAACAAATCAGGTGACGCACTATAGCAAAATCAAAATAAATGAATGCTATAGAGAATCTAATGGTGCTGATATTTACAGCTTTTGCTCTCTACAATAGTTTCAAAGCCATTGTAGAAAGGGTGATGCGGATACTCTTAGAGGCACAGTTCCAAAAGCCCACCTAAACTAATAGAGCTTATTTGGGAAGATGTTTTAGGCTAAAATAGTCATATAAGATAAAATAAGTTATTTTAGTCAAATAAAACAAAATGTAACATCCAACCTATATCATTTTATTTTGGAGTACCTACGTGTAGGTCCTAATAAGTAGACTTATTGTCTAATAGGTCCTATGAGAAAAATTTGTCATAAAAAAGTCACTAATTATAAGTTTCAGCGACAATTTATAAAAATCATGACAAAAAAAGTTACTAATTGTCAATTTTTAACGACGTATGTAAAAGATTGTCACAAAAAAATTATTTTTAACGATAATTTTATCAAGACTTATTTTCAATAAGACTTTATAGGAATTAACTCTAACTATTATGACCTATTAAGAGTTTATCTTTTTATTTATTTTTTTTCTCATAAAAGTTAAAAAGTTAAAAAATCTATCACAAATGAAACTTTTTAAGCCGGGACTAAAATAGTTAAAAAATCAAAAAATTAAAAAGTTAATCTAAATCCCAAACGAAGGCTAAGTGGCTGAAAATCGTAAATGATACCAGTGGTCAACAAAACATTCTAGAATGCTGCTCGGCTAAGAGAAACGAACTATTTTTCAATGGAATTATGTCAACAAAAAGGTGCTCAGACATGAAAACATCTATGAGTGTTGAAGGAAGTTCTCAACACTGTTTTCATGTACTATTCTTTGCCACTTGCATTTTACTTTAAATTCAAGTGGAACATGGCAAAGCTATAATATATTTCCTTGGCTAACAAAGCACAGCAGATGATTACGTAAGACTAGTAAAGAGTTGTTCTAGACAAAAGTTTTAAAAATAGAAGTTTTCCTTGTTAAAGCAGTAATTAACAATTACAAAATTGAAGTTGAAAATGAAATAATGACAAAATGGAGTGTAATGTAAGTGCTTCATATTGTGCAACTCAATATATTTCAAAAGAGCTATTGACTAATACTGATGCCAAAGAATGAGTGCATCATCAATCCTTTATTGAAAGAAAAAAAAAAAAGGATTATTTGTAGCAACTAAGGCCAGCTAATAAAAATAGATATTCCTGCAAAATGCAATTTTGTTTTCATAAAGTTGCAACAGGAAGAGGACATCAGCAGTATTATGATAGTGATTTTTTTTTATCAGCAAAAAAAAAAAAAAACTTTATTGATAAAGATAACATACAAAATATGGAATTACATCAATAAAGATGAGACAAGCGCAAAAAGCATCAAAAGTGAACTTTCCAAATCTCAACTAGGTTGGCAGTATTATGATTGTGATTGATCTCCAGAATAACAGATTAAGGAATGCACACGAAATATTTACGGAGTTGCGTATAGAATAATGGAGTAAACCATTATTGTCAAATCGTGAATTGTTTTGTTAAAATAGTGAATTTTGAATCATGAATCATAAGATTCACTTTATTTAACATAATATATAATTATATATATATATATATATATCAAAATACACACATAGTGTTTTAAATAATATCAATATAACTAAATTATATATATGTATGTACATACATATAAAATTGCGTATATCAATATAATTAATTGATCTTCTTCTTTTTTATTTTGCACAAACGATATTTTTTATACATTATGTGAATAGAGAAAAGAATTGCAGTGAATCGTGGTGTATTGTAATGAATCGTAAAGAATTGCAATTAAATTGTACGATTCACTCAATTCAAGATCAACACAAATCGAATCGTTTTGATTAAAACTCATATCAAATCATATCGTGAATCGTAAGATTTAAATTACATGATTCCACTTTATATAAGTTTAAATTCTTTCATATCATCACATTAGTGCGTTGTTTCTATCAGCCAAGGAAATAAGCTAGTGCCTAATTGTTTGCACTTGCAAAAGAATGACCATGAATAGATAAGCTGCACAGGTTATACTGAAAATGAGTCTCTGGACGATTCCAAAATGGTCAAATATAATTCCATTATAAGATAGTTCGTTTGTCTTGACTGGATGACATTACTCGAATCCAATATATATATATACACATCCAACTAAAATAGTACACGTTGCCAGATAATTTTCAAGAGCAACATGTGGAATTGTTGAACCATGAAAGAGTTGAATGTTTTCTCATTGAAGGTATATATATACATGAATGCACGAATCATTGGAAGTATGACAATCAAGTTACATGTACTATGTGGGAAATTGAAACTTAGGAAGAGGAGGAATGATTTTGAAATTTTTACAAAGCTTGTAATTTAGTTGAACAAAGACAAACTATGCAGAAAAAGCACATTCAGTACAAGAATCATATCTAGGTGTAGTAAGTGACCAAGTATTTCCAACCTACTACGACAGCTTTGTATATCATCCTATCATGTAAAGTTTTTTTTTTTTTTTTGGTGCCATGGTACATTCATGAAATAGCATTTTAAACAATCTGATCATGTTTAATGTTTATGTTGTAAAGTATGTTATACTTATACACTTGACTGTGTCATTGTAATTGCTAGTTTTGGCAAAGGGAGGCAGCAATCTTGAGGCAACAATTACACAACTTGCAAGAAAATCATCGGTAAAATTCTTCTGCTTTAGCTTGGAAATACTTGATTTTAAATGAAACGTAATTATCTGGTAAATAGCATAAAAGTTCATACCAGTTGGCTGTGTAAACAGTATGCTTCAAATTATTTAAGATATCACTCATGTTTGAAATGATTATCATCAAAAAAATAATGTTGGTGTTTGAGAAGTTACTATTTTAGTAGACTATTTTGATTTTTGACTATTTTAATAGGTTAAAATTTTTGTGCTTTGGAAGATAGTTAAATTTTTTTGTAATAGAATGTGATGTTTGTAAGAAAAAAAATAAAATAATTATAGATTTGATGTGACATTTTGTCTGATTAGCTATTTTAGCCTATTTTATCATTTTGTGAATTTTAACCCAAAAAGCTAATGCTAGGTGCCAATCAGTCAGTAGCATTTAATAAACTATTAAATGAAAAAAAAACAACCAATAACTTATATAGGTCCTGTTTGGTAGAGCTTATTTTCAGTTTATTTCAACTTTTAACTTAATTTAAACTATTTTGATGTGTTTGGTTCAGCTTAATAATACAGCTTATAACTTTTTGTAAGTCAAAAAAATCAACTTATTCTTTGAGTGGGGAAAGAAAAACTTAATTTATAAGTCAAAAATCAGCTTATGTTCACAGTTATAAGTTATAAGTTGTTAGGTTATAAATTATAATCACTTTTTCACAGCTCTACCAAACGGGACATACACAACTTGAAGGTTCTATTAGTGGTCAACACATTGATAGCTTCTGTTAGTTTCTGGAATTATTAGTATTGGACATGCCTATCACAAAAAAGTTTTAGACATGGTTAACTGATTAGGTTTACTTGTGTCCATTTTAGCTTATGTAACAGTAAAAATATTGAAAATCTGCAATACATAGAGCTTACCTAGGAATTGTTAAAATGGATATTGAGTAGTTGTTTGGCATCTGTTACAAGAGCACATCATCTTATTTGAGTCATAATTATCTTATTTGAATCACATCACTTCTTATTTAAACCACATCATCTCTACAATATCACTTCAAACCTAACCCATATTTAATATTTTTTCATAAAAAGTCAAAAAATATACTAATTTAGCACTTCCCAAACAACCCTGAATGTTGGAGTACAGTGCACTGGGCTTGAAGATGCCAGCTGAATGAGTGTAGCATACTAGCATTGTTTCAAATCTCTTAAAAATGAGCTTGAATTAAACTTCACTGGTAAAGATCTAAACCGTAGCTCACAAACTGGAGACGGGGAAAAAAAAAAAGGCAGCAAAATCCTCTTACGTTCCAATACAAGGATTTGGAGCAACAAAATGCAAAAACAACAATGCAGGAAACAAATAAGGAAAAACAGCTTAAAATTTCAATATTTCAGGAGTCCCCAAGTCAGACAACTTATGATTAGATTACATTCATAAGAAGCACAATATGTTAAAAGTCAATGAATCATGAAACAAGGTCAATAATTAACTTTTTTTTTCAAAGAATTAATCTAATTTTTACTCTCATCTTTGACAACCAGAAGAAACTATTAATACTATTTTTCTCGTTGGGGAAATATAATCCTATTCACTCTCTGTTCAACCATGCCAACTATAGATTACTAAACACCTACTAAACCTAGTCTAGCTTATTTAAAGCTGTCATTTGGCCAAGCAATGTAAAGAATAAAAAGTACCCCAGTTAGACAACAAGGTAACAATATAGATTGGTCCAAGGATTCGTGCCTTGTCTGGACAACCTTTGATGACAAAATAACCTTGCACTGCCATGCAACTTCTTGTATACTCAAATACTGCACCAGGAAAACAAAAGCTTGGCTTTCCTGGTCAATTGACAGGAGGGCAAAAAATAAAAAAGCGGCCATTACTCATAATAGAGGAACTAAAAACCAAAGATACAAGTTTTGGATGTGATTCTAGATAAGACAATTATTTCAGGATAACAGCAAAAGCCACCATCCATACAAACTTCAGTAATTCATATGATAATATCCAACAAATTTAACATCTACTCATCTAAACATATTCAGAATTTACCAATGAAATAATTTATAAATGTTACCATATCAAACACCAATTTGTTTATCATCTCCAAAACTATATTAATGGAAAAGAAGCCAATATCTCATATATTACGATGCTGATAAATTTTAGCAGTATGCGTAGCCTACTTTCTGCTATGGACATTTACTTTCATGCACATATATACCATTCTTGATTCTACCTAGTTACACTCGTTTTGCTAATGTTTATTGACCCCATATTACACAAGTATTGTTAATGGTTAGTACTGCCTGTATGATGTTGAGGGTGCCCACAACCTCAAGGCATTCACATGACTTTAGATAACTTCATATGCCTAGCTCATGAGAGCGCAAGTAAGGTAACTAAAGTATGAGATCAAAAAAACCCTAGATCAAAATCAATTTTAAGGGTTATACCATATTTTACACACGTGCTACAAATGAATATTCTCTTTTCCATAAAACTCTTTATTTAAACCAGTTAAGGGTTTAGAGAATAGTCTGGAAACAAGGGCTAAATGCTCCAGTTTTCATTATTCTTATCCTCCTTCCCATTCTTTCTTTTCCTTTCTTTCCCATCTTGTTTCTAATTCTTATATTCTTGTTGCAGGAACATGTTGGATATCACAATTTTCCTACTACAGAATCATTATACCATTCTTTTAAAATGCTGTGTTGCCCTACCTCTTTGTGATTTCCTTTTCTTTCTCTTTTTCTTCAGTTTCATCAAGCTTTCTTTTATACTTCCTCTTTTTTCTTTTTCTTTTTTTGAAAAGCAACGAAGAATTATAAGCATGAAAAGGGAGGAGGACAAGGAGTCCTCAAACAACAAAGAAGTCCAAAACAAAACCGAAAAAAAACAAGAAAAACCAATCACTAAGAATGGCAAACAACAACCCAATCACTTTCTTGTTATGCCATACATAATTGACTTTTTTTCTTATAATTCACTCAGTATTTCAGCCACCTTTTCTGCTAAGATATATTTGCATTATTTTGACCTAAACACTACCTTCCTTGTGGAACTTTCAGTTTATACTTTCATGTTTAGACTGCATGTCTTCTAGTACATATCTTGCTTGCTTAACCATTTACGTCATATTTTAGTTTCTTGTTTTTTATAATGTAGAACCTTTGCTTATTGAATGGTTGCTTCTTAAACTGGAGATCAAAGACACGATGAGCAATCAGTAAGATTCTTCAAAAAGGATTATAAAAAAAACCTAAAGTATCCCTGGATTTCACTAGAAGAATGATGGAAAATTGCTCTCCTTATCTCTTCAAGATATGCAAGACTTTCATATATTGAAAATTGTAAATGTCTGTTTTGATGAAACAGGCAATTGATGGGAGAAGAACTTTACGGTTTGAGTGTCAAAGACCTACAAAATCTAGAGAACCAACTGGAAATGAGTTTGCAAGGTGTCCGCATGAAAAAGGTCCGAAACCCTTGGTCTTCCTGCAATGCTCAAGAGTTGAGCTCATTGTGGTCTTGTATGAAGAAAATCCATCATTACTTAACATGATTTTTATCTTAATAACATCAGAAATTTTTTTTTTTTTTTAAAAAAAAAAAAAACTTCTACAGGAGCAGATTCTAACTGATGAAATACGAGAGCTAAACCAAAAGGTCTCTCGAAATGATAGATGTCATTAAATTTTGTCAAGAATAATTTCAACTACAAAAACTAAACTTCGTTGGATTCATTACAGGGGAACCTTATACATCAAGAAAATGTAGAACTCTACAAGAAGGTGAACCTCATTCATCAGGAAAACATGGAAATGTATAAAAAGGTTTATAGTTGGACTACAAACTTAATCATCTGACTTCCCTGAATAAACTCATATATTACCATGCTTGCATGCATAACATGTGAAATTAATTTCCTAACTAGGATTAAGGGTTCTCGCTTCAGGTTTATGGCACAAGGGATGTGATAGCAGTGACTGAAAACACACAAAATCCGTATGGTTTCAGCATTGGAGACGACTCATGTGTGCCTATTCATCTCCAATTAAGCCAGCCTGAGCATCAAATTCATGAGATACCAACAAGCGAAACAAGATCAAGGTGAAGTACTCTCCACACGCTCAAAAAGTAAATCTTATAATACAAAGTGTTCCATGCAATCTTTGATCCCAATGCTATTTCATCAACTGCTACAGATCACAATTGCATATCTTAATAAATGTATAGTAGGGAAATGAGTAGTTTTCAACAGAATATGTTTCAGATAGGTGGCTTTATAGTATTTTTAGATTGCAACACAAGCTCACGCCAATATTTTGGTAACCCATAGTTGGTCAGCATACTGAACTTCTCACTGAAGGATTGAACCAATAATTACCATGCATATTGTCCCTTAATTTTATCATTCAATTCAAAAGTATCATAACACTTGCCTTCCTCACAGGTGAACATGCTAGGTTGCGAAAAAAGTCTCCCTTCTCCAACATTGTCAGTTTCAAAGTTGGCAACATCTCAAGAAATGTAAACACATGTTCTATGAAGAGGTTTCTAAGATTTTCATGCAATTGATATGTATTTCTGTATCAAACTCGAGCAAATAACTACATTATACATGTGGCCATAACTTACCGATGCTACTAACACATATTGCATGGAGTATATTGCAGATGACAAACAGCCACTTTGCATATATAATGCGAAGGTTAGGTCTCTCTATCCCCCCAATTAACAGGGACCAACAATGTCCTTATGTTGCATATAACAACTGAGAAGCAATTTACAGAAATCTATTGGTCATACATGAGTCAAGAAAGTGAATTGTTCATATCATAGATGAGCTCCATGCAAAATCACCATGACATAGCTTTGAAATAAAACTAAAAATTTAAGTCCAAAATTTCTTTATGAGTGCTTCTATTATCACCTACCTAATTTCTTTGGACCCCTTAATTTTCACTCTTTTTTTATTACAATTATACCCTGAAGTAAAATTACATTAAAGGACAACTTTTAATAGAACACCCACTCACCAAATGAAGACAATTAAAATGACACTCTACAATTTTGTACACCCACCTCAATCCCCATCTAAACATATTCCTCATCAACTTAAACCCCGCATTCCTCTTCATCATCATCCTAAACCCTAAACGTATTTATCTTCATCACCATCATAGTCCGGTCCAAATCAATTAACGTTTCAATCCTATTACACTGAATTCCTCCAATCAAATTTCCATATACGTCTGTGGTCGTTTTCACCATTCGTTGATACTTATAGAGTAATGGAGAACGATGACAACAACTTCGATGAGATTGGCATTGCATTGGTAAGTTTATTTATCTTGCATTAACGATCCTTAGTCGTTTTCAATGGTTGCTATTTTGTTTGAGCTTATTTGGTACAAGTTTGCTAAGGCCAAGTTTGGCATAATTGAAAAAAGACAAAAAGTCAAAAAGTCACTATCCTATTTAAGTCACATCATCTTATTTAAGTCACATCACCTCTCTAACACATCACTTCAAACCCAACCCAAACCCAACCCATATTTCATAAAAAGTCAAAAAATGCACTTATTTAGTCTTCCCAAACTAGGCCTAACTATTAATGTTTTGTTCGGTAACGCGATACTGAACAGAAACATTTAGTTCGGTACATGGGTTCCAAACAAAACCTTTATTTTCGGCACTATTCAACCAAACATAATTTCAGACAAAACGAAGAGATTTTCTTCAGTCACTGATCTCGAATGAGAGACTTCTGATAGGTCAACAAGAAGACGATGAGGGTAATCTAGACGCAGCAAACGCAACAGCAGCTCCGCCATCTGCGGTTGTGGCGAGAGGGGTGAGGACGGTAGGCTAGCGTTGTAAAGTTGGGCATTGGTTGGCGGAAAAGTGAGTGACAAAGAGAGACATACCAGATCTGGAAGAAGAAGGAGAGAGAGAGTGCGTGTGTGTGTGTGTGCAAAATTAGGTAGATGTGCACTTGGGTGTGATGATATTATAAATAGGGGTAAAATTGGTATTAAGTGGGGTGTTCAAAGAAATCTTATTAAAATTTAGGATTTAGGATGAGGGTTCAAAGAATTAAGGTAGGTAGGTGCTAATAGCAGCACTCTTCTTTATAGTTATCCTTCTCTTTTATGAATCCTTATACTAAATTGGGCAAGTAGGACCAAGAAAAGCAAGCATTGTCAGAATATTCCAAGGCAAATCAACCTGTTTATCTTGTTTCCCCCAAGCAAAAAAAGAAAGACTATTACCTGAAAGGGTGGGAACTGAAGTACTAGCATTTAGTTAACTTCTTCTTTTTCAATTTCATCTTAGCATCTTGCAAGGAGCCTTTTGCAGTTTATATGCAGGAAGAAAGTAGCTCAAAAACAATGTCATGACACAACCATCCTAAAACAAAGGCTAAATATGTTCAATTTCGGTGCATTTTCTTAACCTCAAATCATAATACCTATTCTAATAGGACAACCACCAAATGTTCAGGAGCAAAATAGAAATTTTATATGCAGTAAAGAAAGGAGCATCAAATAGGATTTGAAACTAAATTTAAAACAATGACATGGGTCACAAGTCTTGGTGGCACAAGGAACACTCTAGCAAAATGGGCGGGTATTCTTTTTTTCTTACGGAAAGAGCAGCATAACATAGCACCAAGGAACCAAAACCAAAAAACAGCCAAAAAGAGGGACAACTGACTTCACCAAGGGTCTTCACCCCTCCTGATCTATCCATCTCCACAGCATTCTTCACCCACAGAGGGACCTCACTGGCTCAGAGGGAACCACTAAATTTATTTCTGAATGCCCATGTTGCCATCACATGAGCAGAGGAATTGACCAATGTCAGTAAATAAGCAATCACCCAAATAAGAAGCAGCTTCAAAACCTTTTTAATATCCCAAATAAGAGTTCATATGGACCAATGGAGCTAACACCCATGCTCCCATTAATCTTCATCAATCACTTTTATATAACTTCACCTCAAAGTATTAGATGCGTGTAGAGTCTAGATGGTAAATAAATGTCTTAATGTGTGTATTGTTCCTTTCCAAAATAAAATTTAAAAAAACAAAAAAACAAAAAACAAAAAATCAAAAACAAGAATTTTCATTCTCTCGTATAACCAAGATTCATATTCTAACCCTTCAGTTTTACTTTACATGTAAACCACTTCAACATCATATTTTCCCCCTCAACTTAACACAAATATAAAAGGGTTATATATAGATAACATTTACTGAAAATTCCTTTACAAAAATTCTTAAATCCATACTATTTTTTCATCAAAGAGAAGCTACGAATGCAATATTTTAACCACCAATCCTGTTTTCGTTTTCGTGTAACTGGAAATTCTTATGATGTGGAAGTGGATGTGGTGAAGAAGCATGGGGTCACCCAAATTAGATATATGCCAAACTACATAGCTTAAGCTAGTACTATTCACCATCTAATGACCCTAACCAAAACTCAAAAGGAGAAACACTAACCCTAACAGCAAGCGTCAAGTATGTGATTTGTATGCTTCCCTTTTCTTCTAAGTACTCTACAAAGTTCTGCACTGCCAAGATAAATTTGGCAAAATCAAACTAAAAAAAACCCTTTATACTAATTTTATGCATACTTAGGCCTCGTTTGGAAACAGGCTTTTTTAGTAACTTTTTGACTTTTGGCTAAAATGTGATGTAAAAAAAACTAGTATGTTTGGGATGACTTTTTGACTTTTTCCGAAAAGATGTTCAAAAAATAGAGAGAAAAGGGAATCTTTGGCTTTTTGATACAGGTTGTTGGCTTTTTGATTTTTTTAGTAACTTTTTGACTTTTTAACTAAAAAAGCCACTTGCCAAACGAAGCCTTAATTTCTTAAACAAGGGTTATCAACACCCTGTGGTTCTTCGAGGAGCAATCAGAATCTTACACAAGTAAAATGAAGTCTTAAAGCCATTTAGAACTCATATTATATAATATATGCTGCAGGGGTTAGATGGTAATTTCTGTTTTATTAACAAAAATTAAATTGAGAGGAGCAACACCAGTCTTGGCGTGCTTTTCTACTCTCATCAAGCAGTAAATGCACTTAAAAAACCACTCAGACATATGAACTCAAATACACATGCACAACTATTGATGAGAGTTTCACAGATATCAACTAATTGGAGATTTAAAAATCCCTTAAAAACACTAGGCACACGAACTCAAATACATACACAAGCTTTAATCCAAAAAATGCTAAAAGTAAATCTGATTAAATTGAGCTCATTGCCAAGCAACAGAAATTCGTAAAGCATTACATATTACAATGAACCCCAAACTGTGTGATATTTAATATGTGTTCAGCTGGCTGTCTAAGTAGGCAAGTCGCTAATTCAAGAAAAATTTTAGGAGCCCAAGGAAGAGAGAGAGAGAGAGAGAGAGAAGAAGAACTACATTAAAATATCATGCTGCTTAAGGAAGGGCATATATAGTGAGCAATAAATGGACATCCGGTCAATAGTATGGCTCAAATCACATTCCGTGAAGAGAGGGGGGGGAGGCTTTGGAAATGCATGCACATATTAAATATCTAATGTATTGAAAAGTATGGATTACCCTGAAACATAAGGGACCTACAAATAGCAATGGATCCAAGTGGTGGGCATAGACTGCACCCCCAAAACCCTGTATTATAGTTAGCAAATAGTAAGATAATCCCAAAATTATAAGGGTTCTACCCACCAAAAAAATGTACAGATATTCATAACCCCAAATTAGTTACATGACAAAACTTTTAAATTAGTTTTGAAGTTCAGTTTAAAAAATATTGCCCAAACTTTATGTCAAGCTAGTTACTATATATAAAAGATCAATTTTTGGGTCATGTTTAATGGATTTTCTTCATTGTTTTTGTTTTCACTTGTATTGAAGTTGTTGGCAGTTGCTGTCTTGTTGGCGTATAGCCTTGTCTTTACTATGTATGCAACTAGTGTTTTATATATATATATATATATTGTTCTAGATTGCTTCTATTGTTGTACTTATCCTTGTTTCTTATCATTCTTGTTTGTGTCCTATGTATGCTGTGTTATTTGTATGTTTTCTATACATCACACTTCAATTTGTTGATGCCCCTTGCTTTGTTATCCATTTTTATTTGCGCATTCTATGACAATGAGAAAATTTATTATGTTTGACATAATATTATTGAAAATGAGTTCACAATATTTGATAGTGCTTATTGAAATGTGTTATCCTCTTATTGATAGATTGATTCGCCTTGTGTTAACTTTGCCTACTTCAATTGCACATTGAACGTGAATTTTCAGCAACAAAATTTGTCAAGACCAACCTACAAACAATCGGATGGAAGATTATTTTCTAGCTAGTTACCAGATAGATCGCATGTATTGAAAAAAAACGTTGTCTAATATTGTGATGATTTTCCTCAATTGTATAATCATTTTTTTGTACTCGCCTATGTTGACAAAAAATGTCAAGTGAAATTAATATTATTCATTTTTATCCATTGGTAGAAATTCATTTTGTACTTTTCTATTTTTTTCAGCAAATTTTCTCAATTAGGATTTACATGTGCATTAATACCCAAAGCCAGAATCTGGAATCTGCCCCTTTTTACCGATAATTGGCTTGAACATGACAATCACCAGTAACACAAAACATATTACAACATTACACACAACGGTCACAGATAAAAGCAAATAACTTGAAATGACAATCACCAATAAGTTAGGCAGGCCCTGTTTGGGGGGCAAAAAAAAATTGGCTAAAATAGCCAACAAAAAACCAAAATATGATATATTACCCATCAATCAATCAATTTTTTCTCCACAACCATCTACTCAACTAAAAAAACTATCCCAAACACACTTAGCTTTTGTTCATCTCATAAAAAAGCAAAAAAGCCACTAAAAAGGCCAAGTTCCCAAGCGGGCTCTCCAATGATTCTCTTCATTCCTTCCAACCACAAATAACCTTATTTTCTAAGCAAAAAACATAACTAAATCTCGCAAATTATTTTTCTTTCTTTCTTTTTTTAAAAAAAAAAATCAAGTTTTCCCAATTCTACAAAAGTTACTTCAATTTTAACATTAAAGTTTTGCGACAATGGCGGGAACCAAATCAGCAAGAGCACCAAACAAACAATTCAACATTGAACATAGACAAAGCAATAAATTAATGAAGGGGGTACACAAATAAGAGAGTTTTGATGACAAATAGTGCATAATTGCAGCAAAATTGAGATCTTTGGATTCTCACCTGCACAGAGAAAGATGCGTGGGTGACTCAGATTCACAGAAACAGAGGGAGACCAGAGACACTAGAAAGAAGAAGAAGATGAAGAAGATTTGAGTGTGTTGTTTGTGTTGTGATATGAATGTCCAGATTAAAATTCGATTCTGTGAATACATAAACCCTTGATGAGTTAAAGTTTTTTTTGGTATATATAGGTAATCATTTTAATTAGGCGGTAATTCATTTCTGAGATAATGTGTATTTAAAATTAGAGTAAATTACAAATAAATCTTAATATTTGTTTAAAATACTATGTTTTCTGTAATTTCTGAAATTTTTAATTTCAAAATAAATTATTCCTTTCATTAATAAAATTATCAATTCAATTAATAATTTTTAATTATGTCAAAATTTTATTTTAATTAATAATTTTGATAATTTTATTATATAGAATAATAGTTCAAAAATTTATTTTTTATTAATTATATTAAACAAAAAAATTATCAAAATTGAATTTTTACTGAATGATTTCTATATATACCAAACGTATAACATTACAAAGCTACCCACCTTATGGCATGATAATATTAACATTACTTTAACAGTCCTAATCTGTGCAAGGATTCAAAATTAAATACTATTATATTGGCCTAGTTTGGAAAGACTAAATAAGTGCACTTTTTCATTTTTTTTTGTATTATGTATAGAAAAAGTAGAGAGGATATGTTGATTAATGTGACCCAAAAAAAATAAAAAGATGAAATAAGTGCACTTTTTCCTTTGTAGCCAAACGTGGCTAATTAGATTCAAAAGCACACACACCTCATTATCATAATCTTTATCTCAAACCAATTGTCTCTCAAATGTTAAAGGATAATATTTTATTTCAATTACTTTTTTTGAATTTTTTTTTTAAATATAGAATTTACCAACTCTACCCACCTTCACCTGTTTCTCATGCATTTGTCTTTTATTTTATTAAATATACTATCCATCTTACGCTGAATATGGAAGGTACATTTTTTAGTCCAAAAGGCATAACTAGTCATTCGTAATGTCCTTGTGGGCAATAAAAGCTGTCCAAGGTATGCTTTCATTTTCCATTTTTATCTATCAAAACCCTGACTTACAATCAAATTTGCTAAAAAATTTTGTTGTCTGTATTCTATTTATGAGTTGATCTTTACCTGGTATATTATATTTATCATCTTCTATATTGTCATTTAATCTTTTATAATTTATAATCATTCTAGCTTTTCCTCTCTTTATCTCTGCATGATTTCTAACCATAAATGCTGCATTACTAGGTCTAATTACTCCTAAATCTAGCAATTCTTTAATCTATGTTCTAAATTCTTCTATATCTATTGATGTATGATCTATTTGTGCTGAGGTAATCCTATAATCTGTATTTTTTATATCTAAATTGGCTAAAATTTTATTTCTCTCCCAATATTTCATGAGTTGTTCTCCTAAAATCTCTGTTGTTTCAGCTAATCTTATTATCTCATCTAAATCATTTTCTGTTCTTCTGTATATTGGTTTTTTCTTTAATTTTCCTATTTTTGCAAAAATTAATTATAAGTTAACTGTTTTTTGAAAATCTTCTAAGTTCCAATAATCTCTTTTATCTTCAAAATAAAACTCTTCAAAATCTTCTAACTCATAATTTTCTATGTCTAAATTTTTTAAAGAAGTATTTGCTATCTCATTAGGTGTATACTTTTATGCTAGCTCGGAAAAAATATTTCTCTACTAGGAAATAAAAAAATAGCGGGAACTGGAACTGAATCTACTCTTGCGGGAACTGGAACTGAATCTGCTCTTTTGGTACAAAAAAAATAATTGTAATTTTTTAACTATATAAGTAATTTATATTTTTAAAAAAAATGTGCAAAGATGTGTCTATCATTTACCCACAAAAATATATTATAATAAATAAATATTGATCGTTGTGTACATTTTTCGTAAATTGAATGCACGGGTCCTGCCCCTATCCCTTGAACTTTCATCTTATTTTTCAGATTAATTACATTTTTCTAACTCTTATAATTTTTTTTTAAAATTTTATTTTAATCCTTATAATTTTAAATTCAACAGTCATAGGATAGTAATTTTTTTTTTTTAATAATGATAAATGCATCAATTGATATATCAATTAGTGTACTAATAGATAATATGACATAATTTTAGAAGTTTTGAGTTTCTGTTAGTTTGTATAATGGGTGAGGCATAATTTTGAAGTGATAATTGTATAAAATATGTTGGTACACTAATCAATGTATCAATTGGTGTGTGTAGTACTACCGATTTTTTTTAAAATTATCAGCTACAAACTAAAGATTTAAGAATGTTATTTTAGTAATATATTATTTTTTTAGCTAAAATATGAGATAAAAAAAATTAATATTTTTTAACTTTTTATAAAAAAAAAAAGGTGCAAAATATAAATAAAAAAAATGAAATCTTTTGACTTTTATATAATTTTTAAATTTTTTTTAGTAAATTTTAAATTTTTTGACTTTTTTAATTGATTGTCAAACCAACCCTTATTATCTGTATCAATCATAAACTAAGGCCTCATTTGAAAATAGATTATTTTAGTAATTTTTTAACTTTTTAAAAAAATATGTGTAAAAAATAGAGAGTGATATGACAATTTACAGTAATTTTTTTAACTTTTTAACTAAAATATATAATTAACAAACAAGGCCTAATATATATATTAAAAATCAACTAATAGAGATAGAATTCACATTTTTAACCATCTACTATCTACTACTATTATAAAAGTGTGAAGAATCTACCATGTTTTCAACTTTTTCTAAATCTCAATTTTACCCTCTCAAATCTGCTATATTTTCTAAAAGTCATGAAGAGTCCTATATAAACCAATTGTTCCCTTCTTATTTTCTTGTAGCTTCTTCTATATTGATATACATAATATTTACAACACAAATCACTGTGAATAATTTTGGTTAAATTTTAAAATTGTAAGAATTCGTTCGAATCTAGTTAAAGAAAAGTGCATTCGTTTTTTAAAAATCGCAGGTTTTCTTCTACACTTTCTTCTTCTTTTTTCCTTAAAATTAACATTAACATTTATTTATTTATTTAACAATTAAAAATGCTCATTTTTCTATTTTTCTCCTTCCAAAAGTCATATAACACAAATCTGTCTCCCTATTTTTTGAATTAATGATTAAATTATAAAATCTTTCTATTTCTTTATTGTTGTACATATAATATCTAATAATTTAAATAGAATTAAAAGTAAAATATTAGTAAAAAAATTTATAAATTAAAACATGTACTGATATATTTTTTTTTGTTATTATTATTTAATATTAATAATTTTTTTCTAAAAAGAATACACAACAAATTATTTTATAAGTGTATTTAGATTAAGCAAACCTAAATCTCAAAATAAAATTAAAAAATAAAAATAAAAAAAGTAGTAAATTAAGTGAATCTAAAAAGATAATAAAATAGTTATTAAAAAAAATGTCAAAGACAAAAAATATGAAAATCAAAAAAATTCAAAACAAAAGTTCGAAAAAACAAATCAAACCAAACACTATGTGAATTTAATAATCTAATTAAAAAATAATGCATACACACAAAAATTATAAACTTCTCTTTTTTAAAAATTTTCTTCACTAATCTCTAATTTTACACAAATTATTCACAAATTCCTTTCAAATTTTATGTGAATTTAATAATCTAATTAAAAAATAATACATACACACAAAAATATAACACTAAACATTTACATTATAACCAACTATTTAATTATAAATAATTAATTTCTCATTGTTATCTATATTATATTGTTGTAAAGATTACACATATTATTTTTTGATATCTTTTATATATATATATATATATATATGTCTACATATATAAAAATATATATATATATAGATATAAATTTATATATGTTACTGTATTCATGCATTAACAATCTGTAATACTATATTACCATCAGATACTTTAATTTTATAACATGTATTGCTTTAGTAATATAATTATATTTGTTAGAAAAAAATACGAAATTGTATATTGTTCTCCTATCAACTTATGTTCAATATATATATACATACATGTCATACAAGCAAGTGTTCATAATAAACACTTTCAATAACAAATTAAAACTTTGCAAAACAACTCTATCGCCACAATAATTATACCTTTTTTTCCCTCATAGAAAAAATCACATTATTTAGGAAAATGGATTTTGAAATTCATGATAATATGATATCGCTTCATATTCGTATTCATCAAAATATTTTTAATACAATGAGTTAAAATGGTGTGTAAGAAGAAAAACAAGAAGATGGTGAAATAAAAACTACAGAAGATCTATTGCAACATACTCTCTAAACAAAGTTAGACGAGCTGAATCAAGAATTATCCTATTCATTGTAAAATTCAAGAAAAATAATGTACATCATGCACACATTTTAGTCAAATTATAAGGAAAAAAATCAAATAATTCCCAAATAATATCGCAACAACTCAATTATTAGAAAATAAATACATCAAATAAAAAATTTTGATTAATTTTTGTCATATGCAGATTACTTACAGATGACAAAATAAATTATGTAACTTGACAGTTTCATGAAAGCGACCCTACAAACACTTATAAGTATAGATCTATAAATACCGTGAAAACAATTATGAAATTAATATATCGATTGAAATATTAAGTTACAATGTCATTCCATTTATAAAAAAAAAAAATTTATTTTACATTTTTTACATAAATGAAAATATATTAATGGCTGATGTTATATTTTTATCATGCAAGATATTCGTGACACAGGAAACGAGACTCAACAACTCTTGATATATAAAAATATACTTCATATTGATATTAATGCATTCTTATACCAATAGGATGCAAATAATATGCAATATGCGGTTCAATGAATTTGTATTATGAGATGAAATATTTAACAAAATTGTGTAATTGTGCAATTAATTTCATACATTTAATTATATTGCAGGTATGAATACGAAAAATTGAAGTGAAAAGTTGATAGAAAAATATTTGTGTAATACTATATATTTAAAAGACATGTTTATTGTTTATTATTTAAGATAAGATTGTGATCTCAACAATCTAACTATACATCAGTATTTATGTTTATAAAAAATTTCACTTATCATTTAT